CAAATAAATAAATAAATAAAATCTTTAAAAAAAAAAAAAAGAAATAACTTTGTTTCTTCTGCTCACTCGTATACTACTTTAAATTATCACTCATTACTGACACATCATTTTATTAACCCATCTCTACCCACTTCTCTACCCCCTTAGGGCTGCCTTTAAAAAGATGGACTGAATTTCCTCCCAAAGCTAGAGTAAATAAAATTTAAAATTCAATTCATACAATAATTTAAAATGCATTCTATGGCTTGGAATCATCCACCTACTGCTTTCACATTTTAAAGAAGAGAACTACTTGGGTAAGTCACTTCACCTTTTGGGATTTCAATTTTTTCACCTGAAAATGAAGTGATTTGAAGTGAATGATCTCTGAAGTTCCCTTCATCTCCAAGTCTTCATGAATCTGTGACTCTATAACATGTGCTTGCAGGAATTCTGTAAGAATAAATGTTTGTGAAATAATTTGAGACTCAAGGATGAAAGGTTTTATGCTAGTGCCACAACTATTTTTATTAGATGAAGCATGCCAGGGAAATCTGTTGTGCCTTGGGATAGCTGCTGCCAGGGTCCCCAGCACTGCCTGTGCCCAACCCATTTCAGAAAGGGGAAGAGGGAACAAGAATCCCACTAATGGGGCCAGAAATCATGGTGAGTGGATAGTACATATATTCCTGAAATTCAAACAAGGAAGTGGTAACAGGCACATAAACACTAATGTTTACAGAAAAGAGTTCATGAAAGGATTTTGCCTTGGTGGCCCTATTAGAGCCCATTCACAAAAGCCAGGGATGAGGATTGGTGCTGTCTCTGGGCACCTGCCATGATGTATCTCCAATGACTTCCCCTTCATGCTGAACCTTTCCTTGCCTGACTCCTTCTGCCCATCAAAGCAAACTTGTCTGATGACCGCATTCCAACCACCCAAGAAACTGAAGGGATTACAGAATCATTGAGTTAGAATTCAAGACAACTTAACCTTACTAATTCATTGTTTTTCATATTTCTCATATCAATAAACTAAGCCTCAGAGCAGTCAGTGGACTATCAAACATCACAATTTATACATAGTTATACCAGGGCTGAGTAGCAGACCTGTGACTCCTAATCAATGCTACTTTCATCACCACTTATTATCTTATAAATTAATTCTAGTCTCAATGCAAACTGATGGAGGTGTAATGAATTCCCTGGCGGCGTGTTGATGAAGCCAGCAGTGCTTTACTCCAAAAGATTAAGAGAAGTGGATAATCTAGCACTTGGCAAGGCCAGCAAAGGAGGTATCATACACCAACCCTGGAAAGGCTGGCACGAGCTCCACCACACCATCTGGAGAAGGTAAAGGACCCATAGTCAGTAGACTTAGCCCATCAGTGAACTATTATTTTCATTCCTCTCTAGGTTTTGTTTTCCATATATGTGAAATGGCACGATTAGATTTAAAATCATCAAATTCACAGACCTGTACCTCTGAAACAAATAATACATTGTATAGTAAAAAAAAAAGAAGATAGTAGGAAGGGAAAAATGAAGGGAGGGAAATTGGAGGGGGAGACAAACCATGAGAGACTATGGACTCTGAGAAACAAACTGAGGGTTCTAGAAGGGAGGGGGATGGGCGGATGGGTAAGCCTGGTGATGGGTATTAAAGAGGGCA